AGGTGTGTCTCGTAGACTCGTAGACAGCACGATAGAGCAGGATGGTTCTCCTGTACTGCTAGTACTACGGATTCTGCTTTTGTGGTTGTTGCTGCTACTACTACCACCAATACCGCTGCGACGACGACGACTACAACTACCACGACTGCATTGCGACTGCGACGACCACCACTCCAGCACCATGGTTATGACTTGCAATTAAGATCGCAGTCGACATTTCTATAGACCCCAAAGCTCAGGCTCAAACCGTACGACACTCTAAACCCCACGAGCCCCAAGCCACTTTTACTGTGTGCCTGTCCCAAGCCGCTGGACACAAGCCCTGGGACCTGCAGACCTTTCTTGAATTTGACTAACTTGTATCTCCTCGCAGTCTAGAAATGCACGAGGCAGCTAATGTAGGGGCCTGAATGAATAGAATAGGTTTTGGGGTATATTCTACTTTAATTGTAGCAAGGAGCCCCCCAAAATAATGTAGGTACTTATTGCGGCCCCTATATCAGCTTTGTTATGGCCCTAAACCCTAAACCCGGCCCCTATATCAGCTTTGTTATGGCCGCAGGCTCAACGTATCTTGGACCGCGCAGACTCCACGGGCCCAGCAGCCGAAACGACACAGCCGGCCGGCAGAGCCAGCATTGCTTTGCTAATGCCCAAAGGGTTTAAGTACCTATATGGTAGATACTTCGGGGCCCAAAATATCTACTGTATGGGTACTTCAATTGAGGAGAGCTTATGGTCCAGCTAGAGGCAGCATCTTCAAGGACCCTGGTGTTCCAGTGCATGTTGTCCGTGATAGGGGTTAGGGTACACATGGGGCCACGGAATGCGACGTGCTGCGGGGAATCTGGCCGAGCGAGCACTAATCAAGCCTGTGTATAGACTGATGCACATGCGCAGCATCCTTTCGCAATTCCAAAGCAGACACGGCAGGAGCGACACCAACCTTGAAAAGAATGATCTCCAGACCCAAAGCCCACTACACCAAATGCCTCAACCCTTAGCCCCAAGCCTTTGAACCCTGCCTCACGACCCATTCAGCAAGGCAGGAGGCAAAAACCCAAACTCCCCAACCCCAATCCCTAAACTCCCTAAACTGTGAGCATCGTTCTCTGCTATGCGACAGGAAAAACTCCAGGAGGCAAAAACGCAAACTCCCAACCCAACTCCCTAAACCCTAAACATTAGCTCGGAACCTCATTGCCATGCCTGCCTTGTGCGAGTGTGTGAGTCGAAACATTATACCCTAAACCCTACCCAAACCCTGTCAACCGTCTCGTAGAGTCGAGGAAGCCACCGGCCTGGCCCGAGGGTCCCTTCCATGGGAAGTGGCTAGAGGAGCTGACCGAAGGCAGCGAGGGTCTCCTTTTTCTGGGTTTAGTACAGAGCTGTGATTGAAGATTTCGGGCCTCTGTTCTTTTGGAGAGGGCTGGAGGGGGCCTTGAAGGGGGTACTGGGCGGCGTGGAGCGATGATGGCGCTTGTTGCGGTTTTTTGTAGGGGCATATGGGAGGTTGAAGTGCCTTGGTGGGGGTTGTAGGGTTGAGGCTCCAGGTCTAAGGCGCAGATACGTGCGCCTGGCGAAATATCACGGTGTTTTGCGTCGCAGCCGACTTGTGACTGAGTCGCCGAGCGAGAGAGAGAGAGAGAGGGAGAGAGAGAGAGAGAGATAGAGAGAGAGAGAGAGAGCGAGAGGGAGAGAGACAGAGAGAGAGAGAGAGAAAGCGAGAGCCGCCCCTTCCTCTGTCTTGGTGAAAGAAAAGTGAGAGAGAGAGAGAGATGGTGAGCTTTTGGGTGGAGGGTTTAGGGCGGTTTAATGGCCAAGGCTTCAGGTCTGTATGTTTAGATTGTCTATATATGTTTGGGGTTTGCGGTTTTACTGGCTTAGGCTTCACCAGTTTGGGTCTGCAGGCTATTTGAATGAACTGCTGAGGTCGAGGCTTAAGGGAATGTTCAAAACTTGGAGCGTTTGGAGAAGTTCAGGGTCGGAGCTCAGCTGTCTTTTTCCAGGGTCCAAGGCTCCATGCAGGTTCAAAGGTCAGGGGCTTGGCAACTTGCGCATAGAGCGCATGGAAGCTGATTGCTGTTGCATGTGGCTTTCCATGTTGAGTGCAAGTCATGCTCAGCTCATTCCCGATCTGGCTCAGGCTTGATCATTCCGCACGCTCTGACGCGCACTGTCAGCAGCTAGGCTGACATTGGGAGTTTGCACAAACGACACTCCATGGCCGGCATCCGGCGCTGACAAGGGGTGTCTTTCCAGAGCTGATGAACTGAGTGATCCCGCAAGCTGAGTGTCTAAACGATATAGGTCGGATACATCTCTTTCGCAGAGACCTGAACGACAAGTTGCTGAATCGGCTTTCGGACTGGTCTGAGGCGAGACTGACAATCTGCTCTTCACGACCATGACATTGAACCCGGCGAGACTGCACTTGGACTACGAGTCGGCGAAGGCTTGGGGGAAGTCGTCCCGGTGCGAAGCAAGACATACATGCCCGCGCCCACGAAGGTATACTTACCTTCAATGAGCAGATGCGTATATACCTGCATCATGCTACATCTGTAAGAGTGCTACTTGTCGAAAACTGTATTTCCCCTTCATGCATCTTGAGGCCACACAGTTTGGCAAGCCCCTCGTCAACAGCATGTTCACCCTGGCATTGTTGGTGGGGATGTCTGTGCTGGAGACAACTCACGGAACTACGATCGCAAACCTCGGCTTTGAAGAGGTGGGGTGGGAAGCAGTCGCTGTGGCAGGCATCTTGATATTTGTTGATGTTGTCTGGCAAACGGGAAATATCTTCTTAATCACCACATGAAGTTTTCTGCAGTCATGCAAGCTCTCAACACAGACAAATGTATACAAATGTATCATGCCCTTTGAAGCAGCATGGGGTCCTACACTAGCTGGAGCTTTGGGATACTTTTTCCTTCCCCTTATTATGGTTCTGTAGAGGTGCCTTTTCATAAATACTCTTGGGAGCCTTTCGAGTGCAACCCGGTACGCTAGCCTTGGCAAACAAAGGCGCCGATCCCAGCATGAGCTCTACAGGTGCTGCACCCACGTCATGCCGTGATTCAGCCCCCTTTCAGGTGGTGTTCCCCAAGCCAGTCTTCTACGGTGACACGCTGCGGGCAGAAACAGAGGCCCGCTCCGACTTGAGAGTCAAGCGGCGTTCACATCCTCACATTCTATGTAGCTGGTGCTGGTAAGTTTGGGTTGCTTCTACTGTCGGAGGAGTTGCCACGATTATGTTTTGTTGCTTGCTGGGGATCTGGGAACATGAGTCGTCTTACTCATACATACCTTGGTACATATCTATATGCATACATTCATGCATGCTTGTCGTGTGTCTTCTGACGGCGCCATGATGTTGGGCAAGGGTGCTTGCCCTTCGAAGTCTTGCCCTGGCTAATCTGTCTGTTGGGCCACACTCCCACTCTACAGGGGCCCGTGTTGCTGCTGGCTCTTGCTCCAGCATGTTTTTAGGCAGGTGCCTCCAGTAACTCTGGTATGCCGCCGTTTTTCTGCTTGGCAGTAGGATGCCGCATGTGTTGAACAGGTGATCAAGAACCGTCCGAGTTCCTCGAATCCCTCCCGTGGCATCGTCACTTTTGAGCACAGGGCCTTCAATCAGAACGGCCAGGCACGCTCAGCTGCGGAGGGTTTACCTCGATTTTCTAAGACCCATCAAGCTCCAAGATGTTCTTAGGAGAAGTGGGAGAAGCTTCGACGTGCCTTCGTGTGAACCACCTTTAAGCCCGAAGAAGGGATTTGCTCCAGGTATTGTTCGAGCTTATTCCCGCCAAAACCTGAATCACTTGTTCAAGCTTCCCGCGGTGACCGGTCACACTAAATCAACCACCGAACGCCCGTGAGGTGGTGTGCAAAGCCAGACGCAATGCCATGATGCGCAAGCGGCCCTCCAGCCTTTGACTTTTAAGTCGTTTCAAGTCGACGCTGCTTAGGAGGTGCAGGGCTCCAGTTGTGTTTTAAGCCAGTAGATTTCCACTCTCCACATTGGCTTCCGAACGTCAAAGTCAACAGCTCCTTTCACGGCCGAACCTTGGCGACCTTCTAAGCAATCCGAGAGCCTTTGCTTGGCGAATGGCTGCAGAGGCCTGCGTTCACAAGGAGCCGCAGAAAAGAGTCCGAAGGGTTGTCCGGAGTCCGACTCGTGCGACTACTGGTTGGCCTAAAGATGTGGAATGCTGTTTCGATTAAAATGATGTGCACAAGCTTGTCTATTTCGCAAGTCGTGTGAACGGGTTTATGTTGTTGCAATGAGAACAACGGATGTTCACTCGGTAATGACGCTTGCTGCCCCGGCATTTCATTCAAAGCTAGAGCTGTGGTTTTGCAGTTGGAGGGTTCACGATGCGAGAGGACGGTGATAAACATCGGTAGCACGCATGCCCAAAGGAAGACCTTTGCGAGCTGCACTGACCGAGAAACCCAGGCCCGAGAATTCTCGCACCGTCTCTTTGTCGGAGTGCGAGCCTCAGCTACGGTTGTGAAGTTGAGGCTTTTTGGTGCCTTGGCTGGAATGGCTGGCTTGGCGTCTCCTTTGGCAAACAGGACAGGCGGACTCTCACACATTGCAAGGTGTCCAGCTGCTCAGCCAGATCCAAGGCTCTTGCACGGACCCAAGGAAGAGGCCAGTGTTGTGCGGTGTGTCGGAAGCGAAATGAGGGCAATCGGCACACGATCCATTACTTCAACTGCTAGCAATACCACCTCTCACTTGAGCTTGGCAACGGTCACAACCGTTGCAGTGGAAGAAGGGCGCCAACTCCCCACGAGATTGGAAAACAGGTGGCCTAACAGTCCGTCCCTGAGCCTTCAAGCCTTATAAGCCCTAAAGGCTCTGCTTCCCAGCCAGGCTAAGCGGGTCTTGTGGCCGGCGGTACCAGCTCTTCCGGGCTCAGAGAGCCAGGCATTCTACTGCAGAGTCTTTTTCTTCGCCCGATGCTGGCTAGCGCAGGTACAACATTTCATGGAAAGGCTCACCGTTAAACGCACGGTTTAGGTACAGAAAGTACGTATTCCTCAATGGGTCCTTTGTAATGGGTAGACGTGATCGTATCTTGGACTTGGGACACCCTTGTATCCTTCATTGTGCGCCCGGGCCTGTTTTCAAATCTGTTGCCTTCTCAAAAACCTGTTATGCGCAAGCTTGTGTTTCTTTCCGGAGACCACTCGCGGCACGGCTTCCTTAACCAGAAGTACCCAAACCCAGTTTTTGTGAACCAAGAATCCTAAACCCGAAGTTCAGATTGCTCATGTTTCGTGCATTTGGAGGTGCGCAGGGCCACGGGCCAGCCGTCGACCGAGTCGATCCGGCTCTGAATTTGCCTACAGAGTTTGGGAGGTTCTGGTTTTTGTGAGGTGTGTGGGCGAGACTTCCGGGATCCTCGCCGGCAGAGAGTATGACAAGGTTTTGACCAAAGAGAGGTGCAGGGCCGGCATTTGTTGTACATGTTGCCGTCGCTTTGCTCAGCTACTGGTTTCCGAGATACGGCGGTATCATGCCATGTCACCACCTGTGCTTCGCCGCACCTGCTCGGAGTTCGCCGCCCAGTCAGTTCGCCTGAGCAACGTCGAGTTGCTCCGCGTACCTTCCCGTGGGACTGTCGTCCAGGAGTTGCTCCAGGAGCGGTTTTGGGGATTGCTTATTATAACCATAATGGTATAGTATACCCGAAACCCTATACTATGTTATTACATTGGTTAGAAGTCTTGCAGCTGACCGGATGAGCATGTTGCGGCTTACTGTTAGACAGTTAGGCTAGAAGTTCTGCAGTGAATTCGCGGATGTCTTTTCGATTGGTTATGCGTGAGGGAGTCGAAGATTCTGACAGGAATATGGACTGGAGCCTTCCTTTCCTTCCGAAGTGGAGATCGAAGCCCAAGATCTCGCAAGCGCACCGCGCAGTGGCATAGATGATCCTAGCCTGGAAGATCGGACCTCTTGGCCTTATGTCACCATCGACGGTCCCTACACCCGGGATTTGGACCAGGCCATCTTTATCAGGCGAGTGGGTGAAGGATACTTGGTGTCCTATGCCTTGGCGGATGGCTGTTTCTACATGCCCCAAAACAGCCTGCTCTTCAAGCAGGCCTTAGAGCAAAGAGGGGGGTCGAGCTTCTACTTGCCTAGGTGTTGTGTTCCGATGCTACCCAGGGTACTCTCTGAAGATGCGATGTCCCTCAATGAGAGGGTGGTCCGGAGAGCCCTTTGCATGGAGATGGAACTGGACTCTCAGGGGAAGGTTACCTGCACCAAGGCCGTGAGGGGTAAGATCTACAGTCATGCTAAGCTTACTTTTCAAGGGGTCGAGAACTTCTTGGAAGGGAAGCCTCCAGAGTGCCACGACTTTCTTCACCAACCGTATGCAGAGACGCTGCAGCTGCTACAGAAAGTGGGCAACTTACGCCGGGCCTTAGCCCGGGAGCGGAATGTGGTCGAATACAAGCGGCACCGGAATGATGTGAGCATCAACGACGATGGCTCCATCATGGTGCTAAGGGAGGAGCAACTCCGAACCGAGCTTTATAATGAACAGATCTCCTTGATGGTGAACATAGAGGGGGCCGAGCTTCTGAAAAGATATTCCTCAGAAGCCCAAAACCTGAAGATCGAGCCAATCTTTCGTGCCCAGAATGCCCCCACAGAGAAGACCCTGGATTGCCTTACCTCCTTTATCGACGACTTGATCCGGGTCCACAGCTTAGATCCCCCTTTGTGGAGATGGAGTCGGGATGGAACGGAATCCTTAGCGGCATACCTCAAGCGCTTGTGGTACTTCACCGAGGAGGATCCTGACATGCATTGTGTATTCATGGCCATCAATCGCCGGGCCATGATGAGCAACAAGCCTGCAAAGTTTCAGGCCGAGCTCGGTCTACACGAATCCCTCCAGGCCATCTACGCACGCTTCTCATCCCCAATGAGAGAGCTGGTCGGCTGCTTTACGCATTGTGAGCTGGGTCAGGCCATGGGCTGGATTCCTGCTGCCGACGATAGTGTGCTGAGAACCCGAGTGATCCAAGTCGGAAACGAGGCCAAGACTAGGCAGAAGAAGATCAGTCGAGATTTGGAGGAGGTTGCCTTGCGATCTCTTTGCGTCCCAGAGCTCCGAAAACCGCGATCGGAACGCCCAGTTTGGATTGGCGTCATTCTTGGCGTCGGGGCCAAAAAGCAGGGGCAGCATGCATACGTGGAGCTGGCAGATCCCCCCATGGAGGTGAAGGTGTACTTGCGTTTGCGAGGCTGCCCACAGCAGTACAAGGTCAAAGAAGCCGTTACTTTGGTCCCTGCTGACATCGATGCCCGGAGCTGGCGCGTTGGGGAGCGTGTGGGACTGCGCGTGACAAAGATGCTACCGCCGAAAGAGGTGGGCAAAGGGGTCGAGGACGAGACGTCACCCAAAGCCCAAAAGGGCGCCAAGTTCCTCTTCGAGTTCGTTGAGCCCGCACCAGCTGCGCGATATGCCGAGCAGAGTCATAAGATGTGGGCTGAAGTCCACCTTGGCTCAGGCGCAGGCTTGCTCTGAGCCCTCCATCACGGAGGGCTGGCTGCTTGCGATTTGAAAGATACGGACCTATCAGGGACGAGTCGTTGCAACTCAGTGTAGTGTAATCTGCCGAGTCACGTCAAGCAGCCTAGTGCAGAGCTCGGTTTGAGAAGCCAGTCAAACCCTTGTCATGGCGACGGTTATCTCCGCTCAAACCGGCCATAGAAGTCTGTTGCAAATTCAAATCAGAGGCTCAACCTTTCGCAAAGTCGCACGCCTTATTGCCGAGTCCTGCACCTGGTGCGGCCTTGGAGAAACTAGCTCATGGTTGAAGTTCCGCATCAATCCTCGCGCAGCTTGGAGGGGGATGCGCTTTGGTTTCTGGGTTGGGTATCTAACAGCAGCTTGGAACTTGGCATGCCATGTTCATGCCATGCACAGGGATTTCCCTTAAGAGCCTCACATGTTTGCTTCATCTCAGCGATGCTTCAAGCTCCCGATCTGCCGAGCTGCCAGGGTCAAGTTGCGAGCTTCGCCTCGAGCTGGATCAGGCCTTTTTCTGATCGCCCGCTGGGGATATTTCCCAAAGGTCTAAGTACTTATATGGTAGATACTTTGGGGCCCAAAACTATATGGGTACTTGGACCCTTTGGGTTTGGGGCCCGTTCAGGTCATGCGGAAGCCCGCGAGATGTTAAGTCTTTCAGTTCAGCGTCGGCATCGTGGACATGCCATGCGTGCCGTTGGTGCAGCCTGAACATTTGCAGCCAGGTCCCTCGAGGAAGCAAGCCTCCATGAGCCTTGGATGCAAGAGGAACTTCTGGCCTTCAGAAATGATACACAAGTCCTCCACCATGGCCTGGACATGATCCAGAGGGTCGGGCTTTCCAGGCTTCTGTATTTACAAGGTACTACCCTCGCGGTTGCAGTGATGACTGGAAAAGTGTCAACTTCTGCAACTTCTGGTCAGGCCCTAGCTCTTCAAGTTAGTCTGCTGAGAAAAATGTTGATTTGGGTGCTTGCATGCCTCCGATGCGCCAAAAGATCGGAAAAGAGCCCTCACTCCAAGGTGAGGGGTAGGAGGGCAACTCAGTGAGGGGTTCTTCTTCATATTTTGGGAGCTTCGAATTGCCGTCTAAGTGCGTCTCTTGCGCTTGAAACGGGCCAAAAGATGCCTTGCTGCCTTCAGTGTATTCAGGACATACTTGCATACACATGTCCCTCTCTCCCTCTCTCTCTCTCTCTGTCTCTCTCTCTCTCTCTCTCTCTCTCTATATATATATATATACACACACATACACGTGTACAAAGTCATAGGTCTTTTTCACACAAACTGTACGCTCGCGCACGCTCATACACACGTAGTCGCATAGACACACATTCGCACGCACACACACACACACATGTATGCATGCGTGTACACACATACACGCACACAGGCACATACACACACACACACATATATATATATATATATACACCTATATGTGAACAAATTTGTATACATACAGGCAGACATATAAAACTTCCTATACATGCATGTTATATATGTATATTGATGTAGATGTACACACGCATCGAAAGCTCTTACCAGCCGTGTTCCCTCAGCCTGCAATCAGCGACCACATCTCTGGCAGACCCGGTGCGAACCGCAACAGGTGGTGTCAAACTCTGCCTGGATTCAGTAGAAGTATATATGTTTTGTACTGATGGCTGACATGCAATCTTGCCGGGAAAGACGACGCAGTGAAGGAGAGGCAGCATTAAGGACACTTGCTGCTTGCAAACGCGTGTGCGTTGTCAAGGGCCAAGTACCCATATCGTTTCCGCCCTGACATGAGGCCACAAACACTGCACGTCGTTCGCAGCGAGCAGCCCACCAGCTCTCGCTTGGAGTCGCCTGAGGTGCCAGCCACAGTTCCGAGTCGGACAGCTAGCCAGTCGTTGAGGTCTGCAATCTCTATGGACTCTAGACCTAGATTGTGATGATGCAGAATTGAACGGAGACTAGATGCCAATGCCGGTGGGCCCTGCATATCTCAACTCTGCAGGAGGCTGCATGCTAGTTGTTATGTCGAAGGTTATAGGGCCTTATAGGGAAGCTGGGCCTAGTTAAAGATTCCATGATGCCGTGCGTGAAATTGCAACTGTTGACGATGTCTGCAACAGAGCATGAATCATTTCCGAAAGTGAGCTTCCTGTACGAGAACCTATTGAGCGATGCCGGCTGCAGTTGAGACTCCTTGAGACCGTTCTGGTACAATTGCTAGTGGGACGTGTGCCAAGTGCATTTTCCATTCTCTAGCGCTGGCTCAGGGAACGCGACGCTGGCGCAGCGCCGCCCGTGGCCAAAGTTCCGATGGAGGCGAGCCGTTGGGCGGTGTGCAGTGGCTGTCGTCGTCACCATGTGCGACTTCTTCGAAGTTGTTTTGCTTTGCCTGCCTTCTCAAGTTATGCTTGATGGGACCGTCGCACCATGCCATGCCAAGACGACGGAGGATCAGAGGTGCCGTCGGAAGTTGGAGTTTTGGCTGGAGCTCCAGAGACCTTGATCTGTGAACAAGGTTGTGTAACACAATGATATCCTGCGATAGTCGCAGTCACCACGAACTGGCAAGAAAACACATCAAGTAGTTAAGTCTAACGCCGAAAGCAAAAATGGCAGGATCAACCCTGGTCAGCCTGGTCACCAGTGCCCTCAGTTGGAATCGTCTTTGTCAAGGTCGTCGTCGTCCTTCTGATCTTCCTGCGTGTTGTCGTCCTGGTAGTGGTGGTGACAGTAGTACAGTAGTCTTAGGAGTAATACTGGTAGTAATTAGTCGATATCGTCGTTGACGTCGTCGTCTCGTATGTAGCATGATAGCAGTTTTATAAGTTTAAGCAGTGTACGAGTGAAGGAGGAGGAGCAGGAGCAGCAGCAACAGGAGTTGTTTGTAGTTGTTGGCTATTTCTACTGCTGGTACTGACACTGCTTCTCAGTACCGATTGTCAACAAAGATTAAGATACTGGCAAGTAGTGCGAGTTTTGTACGGCGCATGTTTCCGAGCTTGTTGCCAAGCTCCAGGCAAGCTCTCCAGGGGCTATCTGAATCGCCTCGTTGCCAAGACTGTCAGAGCTCCCAGGTGGGATGATCGCACAGATGTGGGCGTCATGTGCATGCTAGGGTCTATTCTATACGGACTGCACAACAGCCTGATGCATGACAGTATTTGCCTGGATTAACGGATTCACCCTTAGCAAGCGGCAAGTCTATGCGGTCGAATTGTGACATGCTTGGAAAACCAGTCCAGCCTAGAGAGCTCTTGGCAGGCATAGTTCTGCCTCGTGGGCGGCCACTGCAAGAAAACCCACCGACTGGGGAGGTTGCGGAGGTGCAAAGCCGGAGGGGAAACCTTGTGACTTTATCAAAGGCACTGTCAGCTTGATGTTCAGAGGGTCAGAAGGGTGCAGCTTGGCTCCGGCCACTTCGGTTCAACTGATGGAAGATCAGTGACACCCAAAAAAGAGACCAAGTTCAAGACAATGAGAGCAGATGGTCCTAGTGCAGGCTTCAGCTCCCCATCAGTCAACATATAGAGGATGGGTTTCCGCTTCCCGACCCCTGTCTGGACGGTTCCCCAGCCCGATTTGCATAACACAGGCACAAAGAAGCAGTGTTCCCAACTTCCTGACTGACTTCGAGCATGCAAGCGGCATCTGTTCAAACGCCCTAAACCCTAAACCCTGCTTACTGGTTTCACACTGCAGACCTCGAACCGTATGCCTCGCCGGGATTGTCCGAGTGTGAGCGCCGAAACCCTGCCTACTGCATGGGTGGAATGTGATGCATGGAGGATTTTTTTGCATGGCAGCTGGTGAGGTGGACTGTCAGTTGAGATATTTGCATGTCGACGAATTCAAGAGTGTTTACTGCATGGGTGGAACGTGATGCATGGATGAAACTTTGCATGGCAGCTGCATGAGTGGAAAGTGGGGCATGATGGTATATGACTTTGGAACTCCTGATGTCCGGTCGCTGAGTGAGTCAAGCATCGAGGCCAACATGACGGCCATGGATACAGCATACAGTGAGGGAGCATAGAGTGAAACTGTTGTGAGAAATCGTGAATGTCTAGACCTTGGAGTGCCTTCAAAGCCTTGAGCAGGGGATCGTTAATGCAGTTTTGAACGGTGACACGTGCCGTTCATGTCGCCCAAGTGCTTTCGAACCTTCGAACCTCGTACCAGGAACCTCGCCTAGGCATGTCCAAGAGTGAGTGCTGAAACCCTGAACCCAATCCTGAACCGGTCGCTTTAAAGTGCCATGGCCCTGAGGTCAGGGGCCTTTGCCCTCGCCTCGTGCATCCCTTCTGGCACGGCAGAAGTCCGGTGCCCCGAGCGTCGCCAACGCCCCGAGTCTGCCACTGGGATCCCATATCCAGATCTATACCTTAATGAGGAGTGTTTTCGGGGATCTTGCCCTCAGCCCTGATGCCGACGTCTCCGAGTTCCTCGTTCGACTGGCTCCAGAAGCCTAGGACTCTTCCCAACATGGGAAGGCCGGCCCACGAAGGCTCTGCATCCCCTCCTCCGAGGCGCAGCTGTGACAGAGGGGATACCCCTTAAATAAGGAATATACCTTAAATTATAGGGGTTTAATATTATGATTTAGTTTAAGCTATATTCCTTAACTAAGGGGGTTGGGGGGGAGCATTGAGAGGTTTCTCATGGCGGGCAGGGATGCAAGCGCTTCCCATGCTTCAGGTTCCACTAATTGGCTCGGAGGCGGCTGTAGATTAAGTTCCCGGCTTCATGTGTTCGTAGTTCCTATCACTACTTCTCGTGTGCCTGGTTCTTATCATTCTTATCCTTTCAGCAATAGGCTTGATCATGTGAGTCAGCCTGAGGAGTCCAAGTTTTCAAAAAACGTCGCGCGGTCCCAGAATCCTCGTAATCCTTGAGATGATATAAAGTAAGGTTTAGAGTCTAGGGCCCGCGGCCTGTGGTTTCGGAACTAGGCCAAGAGGACTCCAACACTGCTGGAGGCCAAGTGCAAAAGTAGACTCCCTTGTTTTCGAAATTCAGCCCTTTCCCCCCTCACTGAATTACCAGGTGGGAAGCCTTAGTGGACACCGGAACACAGCCGGGATGCAGCCAGGAAGCCTGCCGTGGAGCAGATGAGGGCAGTGTCCGCAGCCCAAGAAAGGCTCATGTGGGAGTTTAGGGTGCTTGTCTCGTGCTTCACCTTATACGAGGCCCTTCTCATTGTAGAACACTTCAGATTTGCCGGCCTCTGCCGTAAACCAAGACTGAGAGGAGAGTGCAAAAGCCCTTGAATGAGACAAGAAAGGTTTGCGGCTTGCTCGAAAATCGGGTTCCGTTATGAGGTTCCGGTTTTCACAGGAGTTTATGATCCTCTACCTCATGATGAGAACAACAGCCCCGGGATGCTTCGCTGTTTACTTGTGAGGCCTTCGAGCGGCATCAGCCCGAAGCCGAGACAGGACTGGACTTGTGAAGAGTATTCGGTTGTGTATAAACATACAAACACACACACATACATATACAAGCAGACAGGCGGACAGACGTACAGACAGACGGACCGAGAAATGTGTGTGTATATATATATATATATCTATATATATATATATGCATACATGCATACTTACATGCAAACAAACAAACATACATACATACAAAGTGCATACATACGCACACATACATATATTGTACGTAGCTTCGATGTTGCCTTCTAGCAGAAGAATGGCACGAGCACAAGCAAGAGTCATGTGTGCGCTGAAACCCAAGCACAAGTTGCTCTGGCACAAGACTCCAAGCACCCACATCCCTTGCCCTCCTATCAAATCATGTCGAATCCCATTGGCATTCGACTTCTGGTAACGCTGCTGGCGACCGTAGTCCAGACAGCTTCCAGTGCATCGTTGCTCCAGCCGCTCTCCACCCAGCTGCCGAACAGCACCACCTTCCCGACTGCTCCGGTGCAGCATCACCTGCCACCATTTGGCACAGAGATTTCTGGTCCGAAGGCGACGAACAAGTTCTGGGCGAACTGGGTGGTGGAAGAGGGACGTGGCCTTGCCATCCACCCCATGCCCTACGTCTTGCAGTTCGAGTCGCAGCCGGGAGAAGCACCCAACCTCAAGGTCTCACGCAGCCAATCTCCTCACGTGGCCTATGGCGATGCTGATTCTAACGGCCCTGACAAGATCCGTTACTATTTCTCACCGGTTATCAACGAGTTCGGCCTGGGAGCCCTCGAACACACCGGCATGGAGGGCCCGGTTGTCGTCAAGGAGGGCCTCTTCGGCATCCATGTGGAGCTTCGGGGCCCGGCAGGAACATCTCGGAAGATGACCTTTCCCATCTACAGCGGCATGGCCTACGTGTCAGCGTTTTACGAGGGCGGCTTCACCCCGAAGATCACCTCTCAGAGGGCGCTGCTCGGAGTCGATCCGATCCAGGATGGGGTCTGGCGACTGACAAACAATGGTGGCCGGGAGTTCCGCCTCTATGCCATCCTGTCATCTGGTGAGTTTGCTGATGGCACCTACCAGTTCAACAGCCAAGGTCTGATGAACAAGCCTTTCGAGGGATGGTTGCGTCTCGCTGAAGTTCAGGTACCAAGCGACCCGGAAGTTCTTGACCAGCACGCCGGAGCTGTCCTCTCGGATTGGGACATGGACGTGGAGCTGGGCACTTTAACGTATCAGTTCTCGAAAAGCGGCCTGCAGAATGTCCCGGTCCTGCACTTTGGCTATGCCCACCATGAGAAGATGCTGGTTGGGGACACTCAAGAGGTGTCCGCCCTGACACCGATGCGGCCACCAACCAAAGGCAAGATGTTGGGTGTGGTTGGTGATTCCTGGGTTATGGACATCGATACCACGGACGTCCTTCAGCTCGGGTTTCTGCCAGTGAACGAACCGGCTGCGGAGCATGCAGACTTCTTGGCCGAGAAGGCCATCGGAACCTCGCAATGGTTCCTGGATTCCGACAACTGGAAGCTGGCAATGTTCCGTGGGAGCTTTTATTTCAGTGGGAAGGGTTTCCAGAAGGTCGCCTATGTTTGCCTGCTGCTGGAGAAGTTCCACGGAAGCAATCACGGGGAGACTCAGGCCTGTGCGGAGATCTTGGCGAAGGGATTCCGGTGCCTCTACGACCGAAGTCTTCTGGGATGCGATGGCGCTCCGATCGGTGCCTACTACGACGATTCCTGGGGAGGAGTCGCCAGCCGGGAGGGCTACGGAGAGCTTGGTTGCCGCAACGCCGACTTCGGGAATGCATGCTACAATGACCACCATTACCATTTCGCCTATTACGTTGTCTCTGCTGCCATCCTCGTGAAGCTCAAGCCGGAGTTCGCGACCAACGTGCCCTTCGTGTCTTTCGTTGAGACGCTGATCCGGGACACTGCAAACCCAAGCCGAGATGACCCATACTTTACCACTTTCCGAGCCTTCGATTGGTTTGACCTTCACTCTTGGAGCCGCGGAGTCGTTCCGAGCGCGGACGGTAAAGATCAGGAATCCACTTCCGAAGAGCTGAACCTGCTGTACGGAATCAAACTCTGGGGCTCCGTCATGCAGAAACCTGCCCTGCGAGACCTCGGAGCGACCATGCTTGCCCTGTGTGCCTTGACTGTGAAGGAGTTCTTCCTTATGAAGTCAGACAACATTCACCACCCACCAGACTTTGTCAAGAATCATGTTACGGGCATCTTCTTCCAGAACAAGGTCGACTATGCCACATGGTTCGGTTGGCGCTACGAGTACATCCACGGCATTCAAATGCTTCCACTGTCTCCAGCTCTGCTCCTTTCGCGCACGACAGAGTTCTGCACCCAGGAGTGGAATAATATCCTGTCTCAACTTGCCCTGCCGTCGACGGATCCTTGGACGTCGATCCTGCTTACGGGTACCTTGGCGTTGGTGGACCCGGCAGAAGCATATGCCAGGCTGATGGACATCGATGACTCCTTCATGGATGACGGCCTTACCAAGGTTTGGGCATTGTACTGGGCTGCCACGGCTGCCACTGGCACGTCCCCTGCCACTACGACTACGACTTCGAACCCTTCGGGAACCGCACCCTCGACCACAATCACGGTGGCATCCTCCACATCCTTCCTGTCACCCACCACGACGACAACCACAACAACCACAACAACCACAAGCACAACTACCACGACAACGACATCTGCGGAGACATCCACGACCCCAGCCGGCATCCCGGAAGTCAACCTGGCTTTGGAGAGGCGCACTGAAGCTTCCAGTGAAGCGCCTACTTTCACCTCCATGTGGGCTGTGGACGGCTTGTTCACCACGCGGTGGAGTCCGGCAGCTGAGGATGTGGTTCCATGGATCGCGGTCGAGCTGGATGGCATCTACCAGCTTTCGCATATTGTGGTGGTGTGGCAGGAGTTCTACCCAAGCAGCTATGAGATCCAAACCAAGGGGAGCGGTAACACCTGGGTGACCTTGGCATCACAGGTGGGCCGCGCCGGCGCAGTGAAGACCGAACTGCAAGGCTCGGACTCGGTGAGCTGGCTGCGCTTGCTTTGCCACGGCGGTTCGGAGCTTCGCGTCTTCGAGTTCCAGGCCTACGGAACACTGGACACAGAGACGACAACGACTCCAGAGCCGGTTGAGACTGGCACATCCACTACAACCACCACGCCCTTCGATGGCCTGAACCTCGCGCAGGGCAAGCCGGTGCTCGCATCCTCCTTCCGTTCGCCTACAGAGTTTGCTTTCCGTGCAGTTGATGGCATGCTTGAGACGCACTGGGCGTCTGCCCTCGCGCCGGAGCAGTGGATTTGGGTGGACCTGCTGGGGGCCTACGATCTCACATCGGTGTTGGTTCTGTGGGGCTCGGACTTCCCAGGCCAATATTCCATTCAAACAGCTCCCAACGGGATAGACTGGACGACATGGGCTGTGGAGACGGGCATGGCAGGCGCCGTCCGGACCACTTTTCCTCAGCAAGTCACAGGCCAGTGGATTCGAATCTTCTGCCACTCCGACACAGGTTGCGGCAGCATCGACGAGCTGCGCATCTTCGGGACGGACCCCAGCTACCTCTCCACAACGGTCACAACGACGCCTACAGTAGGTGGCACGACGCTTGGCACCGAAACCACCACGAGCACTGGTGCAGCGACCACTGGCTCCCGGCCTGCGGCGGTGAATTTGGCACTGAACCAGCCGGCCCTTGCCTCGAGTGGATTGTTTCAAACCCGGGCTGCGGATGGCTCCCTGACGACCCAGTGGTCATCGCTGCCCGGAGACCAGATGCCATGGCTTTGGGTGGACCTTCGTGGACGCCATGACGTTTCTGAAGTGCTGATTTCGTGGGGGTCGGAATCTCCTGCAGAGTTCCGCCTGGAGGCCGGGTACAGCGCAGCTCACTGGACACCTATTATCACGGCAGCAGGGCAGGCCAACAGCGAGGTGCGGGTGGTCTTCAACCCGGTGAACTTGCAGTTTTTGAGGGTCCTTTGTGCCGACCTAGGGTCTTCGACCGGCTGCAGCATTCGGGAGCTTGAGGTGTACAACTCTGGCCCACCACCGACGACCTCAAGCACCACGCAGAGCTCGAGCGCAGCCTCAACGACTGGATCCAGCTCCGAGACTTCGGAAGCCGGAACCACAGATGCTGCGCTGCCCACAACCTCGAACTGGACGGGTCCTCATTCTGAGAACACCTCCACATCGACCGTGACCGTCACCACCACGCTTCCTCCCAACATTGCTTTGAGGAAGCCCATCCGCGCCTCGTCGCAGCGGTCGCCCACAGAGTACGCGGCGCGTGCGAACGATGGCGACGAGGGCACGCGCTGGGCTTCTGCGGGAGGCCACACGGAATGGATCTTGATCGACCTGCTGGGCAGCTACGTCTTGGAGGGCGGTGTCATCCTGTGGGGCGATGTCGTGCCAGCCAGCTACGGTCTCGAGGTCAGCTCCGATGGCGTGAACTGGGCACCGGTGTTTGATGAGATGACGCCGTCTGCGGACTACCGCAACTACAACAACCTTCCCAGCATTCTTGGGCAGTGGTTGAAAGTGACATGCCACAACGAAGGCGCTACCGGATGCAGCATGAAGGAGGTGCAGGTGCACGGTATCCGAGCCGCGGACGTGAGCCTTGCAGAGCTCGAGGAGTTGGCAGAAAGGACGTCCCGTGCAAGCGGGCTCTTCGCTTTGCCCTGCTTGGTTTTCATGCTCCTGAGGATGTTGGTCTAGTGCCCCAAGGCTCAAGGCTCGAGGAAGCCGAGTGCAACATATCGATCTTCTACCGTATGGTTGTTGGAAGTCCTTACTGGAGCCTGAGGGGTACAGTATACAGCAGTAGAGGCCAGGCTTAAATGTTTGCAAAGGTCTTGGCCACCTCTTGCATGTGTTCTGCCTAGCTGGACAATGTCTTGCTGGTGTCTCCAGCCATTTCCAGAAAAATTCATGCGAAGAGGTACAGTGTTTGAGCTACTGCCATGTTGGAGTTTGTTTGCAAAGCCGGCCATTAGCTCCCGGCTTCAACGTGTACAGGACGTGTAGTGATTGTCACACTTGGCAACTCGTCACTACAATGTCCAATTTTGAGAAAACCCTTTGTACAGCGGTGCTTCGCACCTCTGCGTGTTTCTTTCGGGAGACATTGCTTTAAAAGTATATTGTTGAGAACGACCCACTCTGGCGACGTGTACAGCCATCGCCCCTGTGAAAGGTTTGCCGTCCGCAGGGGCGACCACATTGTGCCACCACCTGTCCGTCGTAAACTAGTTAGAAGAAGGTTTTCGTGACCAGCGCTTTGTGCTGACAAGGGCATGAAAGTGATGTGTCGCACCATGTTATTTGGCCCGGCAGAGACTGGGAACCCATGCCTTTAGCATCGTCACGAATGTGACTTCATGCGACCGCTTCGATGTCAGAGTGCCGCGACTTACAAAGTTAACAGGGTTCTCCGAAGACGCGAAGCATTCCAGCATCTGTTTGACCTCGCCTTGCTTGTCCGACCCCAAACCATACCAGGAGCAGACAAAAACCTTTGCCTATGCTCCGGAGAAGCGGCTGCTGCCGGATGAAGTGGTGGCGCAGGCCGCTGACCAGTGCAGAAAGTAATCATGAGAGCGAGCGGCAGTATCCGTGATGCAACCCATCGACAACAAGCTAGCCCGTTTTTTGTCAAGCAGTTCAGAGTCATGGAATTAGTTATTTGTTGTACGTCTAATTAATTGAGTCAGTGACAGTGCCAGCATCAGCAACCCTCCATACATACCACTGCAATACACTTAGGGCAAATCCCGATAGCTGATAGCAGCAACTTCCACCAGAAATATCAAACACGGCGCAAAATGTTCATCTTCTTGAACGTTTGTCTTGTGGTGGTTTGAGATGCGTTTAGGTGTGTGCCTTCACGCCCGATCCTATCAACCCAGCTATATGTGGATAGCAGGCTTGTGCCCTTGACATAACACCATATAGAATAACACTAACCCAGTATTTTAGAGGTAACAGAGATTGTTCGACGCTGCAGGAGCTCCCTCACGACGCCAGCAGCCGCAAGGCTTGGAAGCTACTTGCTGCCCGGTCCCCTCCGCTGCTTTCAGACCGTAGAAGTGTGCTTAAAGTTAGGGTTTAGGGTTTATTATAGGGTTTAGGATTTCGGGCCCTTAGCATAGTCACCGACCTGCAGCCTGCAAGGCCCACCGTAGCTGGCCAGTCTCTTCAGAAGTTGCGGAGGCCGCGAGCCACGAGCATGTGGAGACAGTGGCAGCGGGCTTGCACCACGACAGTGCCAGAGCCACCTGGCACTCTTCGGGTCAGCCTGCTTGTGCGAACCAGACCACAAAATAATCTTCTTGGAATAGGAAAACAGAGTGTGTGTATGTATATCTATATATATATATGTATACATATTTGTTTACAATCGAGAGAGAGAGAGAGACAGAGAGAAAGAGAGAGACGTAGCATATTCTTTATTATCATTCTGATGAGCGTCTTATGGCCCTAGGTTCGCCAAGCTGCGGCGTTGGCCTTAGGCTCCCTGGGCCTCAGAGGAGCAACGCATGCGGGGGCGCTGGCTGCGCTAATGTCTCTCGGCTCATACGAGTAGGGAAGTTGAAGCGATCAGTCTGATGAAGCCGACGTTAGGGGCTTCGCCTAGTTGCGGATATCGTGACATGCACGTAGTGGGTTAATAGTTACGCATCTATGATTTATGGTTATATCATCCATCCATGTCGGTTTCTCGCATTCGGATCTCTTATTGCACTTACCCCTTCAGTTATTCACTCGTATGTTTGCCCGTCTTTGTGTTTGCTTGTGCGTCCGGCCGTCTGTCTGCCTGTTCGTGTGAGTATCTCCGATGTGAGATAGCCGAAAATTAGCCATGCACGTTGATATGTTACACACTGTTTGTGTGTCTGCTTCTCGTCCGCAGTTGCTGCGACACGATTTATGACGTCTGCACTGATGTAGACTTTCTTGCATAATCTCGCGGATGCTGCATATACTCCCGAAGGCTTCTCCAAGCAAGCAGCAACAACTAAACGTAAAGATGGGTTGTTCTGGGTTTTGGTTTTGGGATTCGAGGAAAGACTCCGATCCCGGTGTGCGCCGCGCAGCGGCTATCGCCTTGGGCAATCTGGGGAAACTCGCAGCAGACCAGGAGGAGGTGGGTTCAGGGATGCTTAGGGCTTAGCGTTGGGGCTCGGGGTTGTCGGTTTTAGGGTGTAGGATGGGTATAGCCAGCAGCATGTGGATGCTTGCAGGGTTTCGCAGTCAGAACACTGTCCAGATCCTAGTGGCTCGAGTCGTTTATCCTGTGGGCCAAACCTCTGATCGAACAGACAGTGGGGGGCTTGCGCTTGTGTTGTCCATGGGGTCGAGGGCATGGGGGAAAGAGCAGAATTGTCGCAGGTCTTGCAGCAGGCATCTGCAAGTGATGTTGACGATGATGTACGATTCCACGCAGCGGTGGCGCTGGGAATTGTGCAGGCCAGGAATTCACATAGTTTCAGACTGTTTGCCAGCATTACTTTCATACATTCGTGAAGCCACCGCTCAAAACTTGACATTGGCATTCATGGGTCGGTCAACTATTGCACTAAGGCTTAGAGCTTCTAAACTTTTCGCACCTGAAGTTGTGGATTCGCGATTCGTTAAGCAGCATTCCGTGCGGGACATCTCCATCCGTCCATCCGTCATAACTCTGCAATAGTCGCCCGAATACCTCGAGGCAGTCAGTTTTACGAGTTGTCAGCCATTCACCGCCTGCAGGCATCTGCAAGGGGGTCTCTTTATGATCCGCTGCAGGGTGTTGTCGTCCAGTTTCGGCGATCATGGAGGGCGACAGTTTTACTCTGTTGACTCCTACAGTGTTGGCCGTTTCTGCTGCTACTGCTACGACGGCGATAACGGCGATTAGCGATTGGCCCGGCAGGTGGGCTGCCGAGTTCAACACTGCCTCTTTATTTCCGATCTCCCGTCATTCCTGCTAGCGTGTTCCCACTCTTCTAGCATGAACACGCTTTTGCCACATTCTGCATTAACTCGCAGGCCTGCAGGCTCTACAACATCACGTCCAACCCAACGTCAACATCTGTCAAGCAAAACGAGAAGTGTACCAAGTCGAAAGATCTGTCGCTGGCTCATGCCTGGCATAGTCTGAGCTCTCACCTACCGGTAGTGTGCACCCAGCGTATGAGAGGCGACATCGCCGAAGTCGGCAGCTCCCTGGCCCAGGCCGGGGACCTACAGGACTTCTGGTCTCTCTTACATGAAGCCCAGTACTTCAAGACCATCGCATGCCTACGTCTTCGAAGGCAGCGCGCAGCCATCTTATTGGTATTTGCGAGTAGTTGCGACGAGCTGAACATGTTTCAGGCCTTTGCCTACTCCGGTTTCAACTGAGCCGGTGACTGCCTGACTGTGTCCTGCTGAGTGGGAATACCCGTGGAAGGAAAATCATGGTTGCATCGCAGCACAAAGCTTCGGGTTTGATCAGATGGGCCTTCAGAAGTATGGACATCGAATGTGCTTGACCCGCTCGTCTCCTCCCCGTTGGCCAGATTAATGTTGCCAATGCACAGGCCGAGAAGCACGAACATGTGCTTGGCCACAGGCATTAATACTTGTTGGCCAAGCCACACCTGTTTGCCAATGTCGCTACGGGCCAGTGCATGGCCACGCAGCCGGGGTCAACGCGTTGACCACTAGAAATCAGCGATGTTGATGGCCTGCAAGCTTCCTTCAGCTCATCTGGGAAATCGCCGCATGCCGAAGCACGGCTGTTTTGGATGTGTTTGCAGCTGCGAAACCACACATCATGCATGACAGCTACGGGTGGTATGTTTATCGAGGCTGCGGTACTTAGAGACAAAAAGGAGCCATGACATGGACATCGTCTTCACCAAACGCTCATGGCCGTCATCATGATCACCCGCCTTCCCCACTGTCATTATCAGCTTCCGAAGCGTAAGCACACACGTTTGCCATGGCAATGTCCGCGAGCGTATGCCCCTTTCGGGCTGCAGCTCGAGTTCGACCGAAGTGCCACGGCAAGGCGGCGGCGGGCAGCCACATGGCTGCAAAGTGGAGCTCCACTGCCGAGAAAGCAGGCTCAATTCTATTACATTCTGCTCGAGTCGGGTCCATTCGGGTTCCTTCTTCCTGACTGTTACGAGGTGTAGCATCATAACAGCAGGCGCGACCTCTCTCCATGCGGGCAGAATAAGCTTCCCAGCGACGCCAATGTCCCATAGCTGAAGTATCAAGGGCTCCGATAGGGAGGAACTTTTCCAGAAAAAGGATCGGTGTTCGCTATTCCGAAAATACTGAGTCTCGGGGACCACAACCACCAGCCTGCCTAATATAGGGGCCTTTATAACCCTAAGAGGGTTTTGGGTATATGGTCCTGCATTTATTATAAGGAACCCCAAAATAGTATTGGCAGTTATTTAGGCCCTATGTTACATCACCATACATCAGCCTTCCCGACCGGGGCTTGCTAAAATATCAACGCAAGAGCCAAGCACGGCAACAAGGATAGTAGTAACAACGATAGTCGGAGCAACACGGAGAAATTTGCACAAGGTTATAGTCTTGGGGATGACGTCGACATACGTCGACTGTCAAAGAATGCATGTTGTGAACTATAAATACATTGTTATAATGGCAACAGAAAGTTTGATTTGAAGCAAGGATATCACACTCGTCACTCTCACTCTCATCAGTTGCCAGCGGAAATTCCGGTGGCACTAGCTTCCAGACCCACTCGGCAAGGTACGATGCGCAAGCGGAGCTGTGCTCTCGTTTGTTTGCTTTGGGAGAGAAGGCCACGTGCAAGGAGCGGCGGCGGTCGTGCCACGAAGGCATGAGCAGATAGCCGTCGAGACTTCGACTGTTGAAGCTGAGGACTCATGATTACAAGTTGGCTTTACAGGCTTGATAGGTCGAAATCATAACGAAAGACTGTGAGGACGCTTCAGCTGTTCAGCGGGGCTGCAATTCCACAGGTTGCAATCGAGTCAACGAATGAACGATGCCTGTCAAAATCGCCGGTACGTCCAGCCTGGACAGTTGCGACAGAATATGTGCGGCAAGGAACTGTCATAGTTTTCATGGTGGCGCCACTTGGATGTTAAAGGCAAGCATCCCCTACAGGAGGTGGAGCAACAAGTTCGGACCTTTGCCCATGCATTGTGCCATCAGCCGAAGCCACTTGGCGACTTGTTGATGCTTTTCGAGTTCGAACGAACCTGAACACCGGGCCCCGATGTGCCAGTTCGGGCTATGTGCGAAATGCTGTGCGCTTTCCTATGTAACTAGGATTTAGGAAGCAGAGGCGAGCATCCTTTCGCTGTGAACAAGAGCGGCGTGAGGGAGGGATCTGACGGAGGGAGAGATGGAGAGTTTTGACGTACCACGGTGTGCCTCGGGTGACAGATATGTCTTTTCAAGATCTGCTGTGTTGAGAACGGAGTGGCCGTGAGAAGTTTGTAGCCTGCGAGGCTGCGAGTTGGAATCAGGAACCATGTAGACTCAGACTGTACTGTACAGCTCCTGTGGGTACATCTGGCAAGATGGCCCCAGGTCGGTTACAGAGGTGCTGACTTCATTGGCAAGACGAGGTCACCCAGAAGCAAGGACGAATTCAAAGTTTGATGGAGCGTTCAGAATGGGCTTGCTCACGACTGTCTCACTGTGGGCTTTCTCGCCCAGTGTGTTGCACCTGTTATTTGCATGAGGCTGGGATGACTCCCTGGCCTACGTGCCCCTTGGTCCGCATGCTCGGATTGCAAACGAACAGTTTGATGTGAGAACGACCTACGGTATCATGCGTGGGCATCCCCGCCTTAGTCCTATACCCATATCCTTGCGAATGTGCACGATGGTCTGTGGCTGAATACGTGTTGTAGTTCTGTACCGTGTCGTAGATGACTGGCGCGTGACGAGCACGTGTGTGTGTGTATGCAGTGCAACGCAATGCTGTGCTATGCTGACGCTACGCTGATGCTAGGCTTGGAAGCTTCAGCTGATGCTATTGCTAATTCTGCTGGTGCTAATGGCTTTTGCTGCAATGCTTAATTATGGCCCAATGGCCAGGCTCGTCTGACGATGCGCCCAGACCCCATTTGTCCCATAGACCCATGACTAACATATCCTCATCATTACGATTCCCGGAAGGATCAGCAGTTTGCGGAGGTCAGCCCTGGAGGCCACAGTGCTGTCTTCTCCGGGTTCAGTGTTGCCATCAGGGCTCGATCATCAAATCTGTGTTTTTACAACATAGTCTAGATCACGCCAGTAAAAAGGTTGAGAGTTGTTGGGGTCAGCTGCGCATTCATCATTGCATGTTGATGTGGATGTCCTGGCATTTTTTGTGTTCACTCTTGAGGAAGACACTTCCTGACATCAGAAACTATCTGCTCAGAGGGAGACTAGACGGCTCTTTCAACTTTCATATACTTATGCCGGCGTGAAATCCATCAGGAGTAGCTTTCGACTTGTCAAGTCGCCACTCGGAGCAGACATGGTGCAGAAGAGCTACCCGCCGGTAGGTGAACACCTACCACCTCAGTTCGCAGCTCAGAGATTTGGAAGCTCGGATTTCGGGCGCAAGGGATGGAGGGTCCGACCATCTTTTTCGCTTTTGGCAGATTGCAAGAAATCGTGCACCTTCTCTTGCCTGTCCTTCAGCCTATGTAACGTGTATGCTCACCACGCACGGCTGAGCTGGCGCTATCCTCAACGCAAGTTGGAACCAGAGCCCTGGTTCTTAAGGTTCTGGCATTGCTGCTTCGGCTAGAAGGCCAGTGGATTCTTCAGAAGTGTATAGCACTTGAGGCATAGAGTTCATTGAGCCTGAGAGCATTCGGACAGGGCTGCAACTTCCTGCTACTAGCAGCATTTGGAACCCCTGCTCCGCGGATTCACGGCTGAACAATTGCGAAACTTTTAGCTTTTACATTGCTTCTAAGTTTGTCTATTTTGGATGGGGGCGCTGCAAGCACAAGAACAAAAATGATATGAACGGACGCTAGTTGTCAGCTTGCTTTGAGAACCCTGCAGCCGTCATCTGCAGGCAGTCTGCAGGGCACCGCTGAAACTGCGGGCATGTTGTTATGTCGAGTGCCGGTTAATTTCCCATCAGTTCCAAACACGATGGGCAGGTCCCTCTGGGCGGTGGCCCTCAACAAGCTGCAGGAGATGCTACTCCAATCATTGAGATCAGTTTGGCCGATTAAGTTCGAGACCATAAGGGGTTGCAGTGGTTTGGAACCGATTTTCAGGTACGTAGCTGATGGAACCATTGCCGTTAACGTGATACTGGAAGACCCGGGTAGTCATACTGTGTGTTGCAATCGTCGGCAAGGTTCAAGCGGAGAGATCTCTGATCCCCACGTTCAACATCTCCCTCGCTTGTACTTGCATTAGACCATCCATGATGAATCTAAGGCACTCCTGTGCGATACCTCCGAACGAGTACAGCCTCAGTTCAGCCCATGCCTCGCTTGACGGTCTCCGCCTTGCGCTTTAGGTGCGTATGTAATTATAGTTTCATACGATTTTGATTCTGACGTACTTGCGTGCATGCAGATATTGTCGTGCTTTCTGGCTGTTACTTTCAAGACTTGCTTCGTGCTAGCCTTTCGTGATGCGTACCCTTCCCTTTGAAGAGCTTGCAAAGATGAGGCGATTGTTGCGGGCCAGCAAGACGGACAGTGGCGCAATGCAGTCGCCCCGTCGCAGATGCTTTCTGTATGTTCCTTTGATGCGCACATACCGTCTCGCGGGTGTGTATTTGCGGCGGTGCATGTAGAACATATGTTGTGAATGATGATAAATGTCAACAGCTGGCATTTGTCGTGACCTGACCCAGGCTGTAGATGTGCTGCAGGTAGACATGGGCGTGCGCAGTTATTGGGTAGCAAAATATGAGGTTCCCATGCACACCCAAGTCCTCGGTCACGTTACATGTAAATGTACACAGTATATATATATATATACACACACAGAAAGGTACCCTTATGTGAATTTGTGCTGTGTCTATGTACACACACACATATGCATGCGTGCATGCATGCTTACGTACGTACATGCATACATGCAGACGTACATCCAATGAATTTGCTTGTAGAGATATTTCCAGCTGTCCACCGGCACAGTTCATTGCCGCGCCGCTGCAACCTGAGTGCCGGGAAGCTCTCTCGCACTAACCACGAGCATTGCCGGGCAAAAGGTATACACCATGAACCTACATGCACTAGAGGCTGCTCAGAGGCTATTTGGTTGGTTATCTTACAGGCAAGACTTGCGCTTATAGAAATTTCCGCAGCTGCGAGGTGAACATCCTGTCTGGCTCGCGCAATCCTGGCCTGCACCGGCATGAGATACTCAGCGCTGGCGTCATGAGAGCAAGCATCGCCACCTGGCGGGGATCGATTTCAGCTTAGCAGGTGCTTGCTAGACTGCAGAGATGTGACACGTGTCGTTGCGACGAAGCAGCTGGAACCAGCCTAGCCGTGCATCTGTGCACAAGTGCTGCCTGGCCTTGTGTTGACAACTTCAGTGACAAGTTCCTCTACAAGACTTTGGCGGTCGCTCCTCACGACTGTGCTCTGCTTGTAGGGAATTTCGGGGGCTGTTTTCGGGTGGAAAGTGCTCCCGCCACAGCCCTGGGCTCGTTTTGGCCTTCAGAGCGCTCTACGCCAAAGTGATAGTCGGGCTGCACCCTTCGGCTCCCTGGTGTGGAATCGGAATCCCCTGTCGAAATCGAAACCCCGCCACGGCCCAGTGTGTGCTTTGGGGTCCGCATCGCCTGCCAGCAGTGCTCCTGGAGTAGTGCTTGACGTACGTATAGGGCTTGGACAGCCAGGTGCTTTGTCACCGTTCGGGGTCCTGTGCTGGCACGTTTTTTGGGCAGCCGCAGCTCTTCCACCCGCCGATGCTTCCAGGAAGCTGGGTGCTGGCCCGTTGCCGTCGAGATCCTTCTGCACACTTCGGTGCAGCGTCTTCGCCCCACGGAGAGGTCGGTCTTGATTCTGGTGTATAGGGTTGGGGAATTCTGGTACATGTCTTCGGCACTGCTTGTGTTCTATGCACTTCGTCAAGGAGTTTGGTCTGATACTCTAGGCAGGACATTTGCTGCGAACACTTCGTGGTGAAGTTGAGAGGTCACTGCCGAAAGTGCTTGTGGCAAGTTTTCAGGACATTCAATGCCGCCTTGGCCCCAAGCGGCCGTGACAACTGGGCCCAGAGTGCAGGCAGTATGCTTCAGTCAGAATTTCCATTTTCGAGAGTCTGGCATACTGGCATGTGTCCCTGTAGTGGTGCCGGTGCTTGCTCTAACGCAGAGCCGGCGCCAGAGCATGAGAAGGCAACTTGTTGCAGGTATGACAGCCCTACTCTTGAGAGCTTCAGATGGAGCTATCCCAGTGTGACCAGTGAGTGCCCCATTACAGTTCGTGCATCGTTTGCCTGAGCCTTAACTCTGCATGAAACCCAGCAACTATACTGTACTAATTATACTGCTGGGTGGGGGGGGGGGGGGGGNNATGTTGTACATATACATATACATATATATATATATATAAGTATATGTAGATGTATACGTGTATGCACTAGACTATGCACAGTTATATGTATATATATATATACATATATACACTACATATGTATCTGTTTACTTTTGCTAATTAGTTATTCAGGTTTAGTTCTACATACATTCATATATACATGCATAAATAGATAAATAACTATATATATATATACCATATATATACATATAGGTGTGTATATATATGTTCATTCAACATACCGGCCTATCTTGGTATACCGGCCATCGTACACGCATCAACATCGGCCCCGGCTTGTGCACAGCTTGCTGGCATGCACCGGTGCATCAGTGTCCCCAGATCTGAGCATGTGTCCAAGCAGAGCTCCGGATTGAATGCTTTTAGGTAAGTGTCCGATATCAACCAGCAGTAGGAGATTCTTGCCACGCTACATGCCACCTTTTTACCAGAAGCTGCAGGGCTTCTACAGAGGATGCGCGACTTGGAGGTGTGGCCAGATCCTTGGCCCGCAACAAACTGGAAGGACTGAAAGATATGAGTGTTCCGGTTTCAACAGTCATGTTTCTCATTTTCGTGGTGCCACCTCCACGGGAATCTACAGTCATTAATATGAGGATCCGGTTTGAGGCAGGAGAGTCCATGTCCTGTGAAAGGGCTGGGCCAACAAGCCCGCGAAGAAAACTTCGCTTCGAAATACCCGAGGATGTGGTCTCCTTCAACTCACTCATGGTAAGCTCTCAAGGCGCTTTCATCGTGGACATGGAAGTTTGGGTTTGATTTTTCATCGGGGCAGGAGTCGGAAGAAGGTGAAGGTTGGGCAAGCACTGTCGTGTAGATTCTGTGCGAACGAGAGATCAGGTGGAAAGTCCGAGGCAGATGATAGTGGTACTCGGCAATATCGCACTAATGCCGTGGTTTGCGAGACTTGCTGGGAATTTGGGAATCTCCTTCTTCGTCCAGGCTGCGCAGACTGGACGCTTGCTTTGCTGCTCTCGCGAATTTAGTTTTGGAGGACGGTCGGAGCTCCAGCCTATAATTAACATACGGGCCTAATACTTGTTTAACAGGCTTCTGGTCTTTGCTATTAATTAGGCTGCTAGTATCGTTGTACAAGAATTGTATGGGGATCATGATATTCAGTATTCAGACCTTCGTTTTTGCTGCAGGCAGTGGGGGTATGCAAGGGAGGATCACCCGATAGCTGCTCTGCTGGAGCGCCAGTTCATGCTTTCGCACTCATCACTATATTATCCAGGCTGCTTTTGCCGACGTAGCATGAAGAGGAGCAGACGGTGGGTGTAAACGCTCATTATGCCGGTCTTTAGGCGAAGGCTTCACAACTGCTCTTTGAACTTCGCGAAGGCATGCACATTGTAAAGACGAGATATGTGCAACAAGTACACCGCGGCACATGGTCCACATGTGTTCGCGTTTTTTTGTTTGTTGATCTTGCTTGGAAGCTGTATATGTTTAGACAGAAGCCTCATCACTAGAGCATTTGCTCGAGGTATCTACTTGCCAGCTTGCGCCGGCTATCTTACAGGCCTGGCACATGGACAAAACTTTGGGGATGCAGTTGACCGACGGCTCTTGTGTCTAAACACTGTTCAGCTAAATGCTCGGCTTGGGACGTCAGACTTGTTTTTGGCGAATCCGGTTGGGCTGGAACGGCTATACGGCTATACGCACTAGATCTGCGAGAGCCTTTGTGTTGCTAGGATGGGTTGGATAACTCCATGACATGGCCAAGCATGGACGGCACAGTCAACACTTTTCGCTGTCCAACGAACCTCCTGCAGGCCGACCTTAGTGAGCCACGGCGCAGCTGCCAGCTCCCTGGCAGATGGACCAGCCGAGACTTACGATGCGATCAATTATATTTATTCGAGGGAAGCCTGCCTGAGAGCAGCTGACGGGTGCAAAGATTTGTTTGGCCGCGGTGAATCGTCGCGTGGCCCTGTGCCTTGACAGATAGACTGAAGTTCAACAATTTCTGGTCGAAGTATCGCCGAATGCAGTTAGTGCAACAACATATGCGCCAGACCCGGCCATGCTTTTTCGAGAGGTTGTCAGCCTTGGCGATGGGCTGTGCAGCTGACAAGAGACTGCAGCTCTGCTGAAGTAGACGATTGGTGACCTATGTGTGCACTGCATCGTAGGATTCTCGATGTGCAAGCACGCGTGAGCACAAGCCTGAGCTAGTGCTTGCCAGCACGTGCATGTCTCGCGGCTCTGGCACCGTTCGCAGCTAGTTCTGTTTGCCCAGGGTTATGGCTAGTCCCGAAGATGTAGCATGTAGCCAATGTCTCCAGCTCCGCTTCGCGCTTTCGTGAGCCTCTGCTGTTTCAGTGAAGGCAGAGACAATGCGAGCCGGGCATCCGTGCTAGGCCCCTTCGGCAGTACGTAAACCCTCAGGGCCTCCGGGCTGTGTCTGTAACGGCGAAGGAGCCTCTCCTTCCGAGTCTACTTTAAATCATGTTCGAGAGCCCTCGAGCAGCTTAACGATTGCAGGGCCTGATGGTGCAAAAATGGGATCGATAGAAGCGAGGAGAGACAGCAGAGATGCTAAGAAGCCTGTGGTTGCAAATGGTGCATGTTTGCAGCAAGTATGCATTGGAACAGCATGCATACGTACATACATATTTTTGAATATGTTTGAATTCATTTTCATGTTCATGTGCGGCTATACCTCAACAGAAAGCCTGTGCGGCCAGAGGCGAAGCCAGAAAGGTCTCAGGTTGAGTCGAACCGAGGCTTTGGCTACTGGTCCATGGCACTCCAGGTCCGGGCCTTGTCGGCCCCAGGCTCTGAACGCATGTCCGATTTGGAATGTGAGCTCAAGTCTGAACCTCTCTGCTTCAACAGCATTTTGGCAAATTACCCTGGATGCCTTTCAACGAGCTGACGGCGACAGTTCGTGGCAGGACGATATAGCCTTCCCGAAGCTCATATAGAGCATGACTGGCACGTAAAGACATCTTTCATGAGGTCCTCCACCAGCTGCCAGCCACAGCACTGCAGCCAGACGTCCGCTTTGGCAATGAGGTCCTCCGAGACTGTACTGCGCCCAGAAACTCTGAGGGCGCTTCTGGATGCTACGAGGCTACGAGACTACCGGCCCGTCGGTGCAGGGTCCAACGCAAAGGGGGCAATTGCATTGGGACTGAAGTGCAGTTGCTGTGTATAGGATGTATAAGAGCATGGTTGTCACCGCAGTTTTGGTAAGATGTCGTGGGGGATCCCGCGAAAGGGTGCGAGACTCGAAGATTTCCACCGAAAGCAAGCAACATCTGCCCACATCTGCCCAGTGCTGTTTTTGAGTACTCTGCTTACCATTCATCCCCGTTGAAGCTCTTGCAAGACATGAGAGAGCCCATTGCTCAAGGCGCAACCCACGGCTGGCAATGGTCCCTGCAGCTCCTCCGCTTTGGCGGTGAGCCCGATCTGATCCGAGCCCCTGACCGCAGGAATCCCAACTGGTCCCTGAAGGTAGGACTGCGGATTCCAGCTGCAGAGTACCTCGGCTGTGAGAGCACCCAGAAATTGAGACGTGCAGGATAGACCTCCGCATGATGGTCGCAGTTTGCACGTTCTTGGTTGTGATGAGTTGGACTCCAAGGACGGAATTCCGTCTTGGGCGCGACAAGAAGTGGCAGCCAATGGGAGGCCGTCTGCCTCCAAAACACGCTGGGCTGGGCTGGGCATGCAATGAACAGTTGAAGCCGCCTTGAGTGCAAGGCTTACATATATGCAAACACCACACACGCATGCAGATCTATCCATCCATCATCCGTTCACCTATCCCTGCTGGGCTGCATGCATGCATGGATGCATCAGACAGACAGACAGACAGACAGACAGACAGACAGACAGACAGACAGACAGACAGACAGACAGACAGACAGAGACAGCATGAAGGCCTAGTTGGAACAGTTAGAGTTGGATATACTGTACCCTGGCAATATATGTCATTTGCGTTTGCTTCGCCAGGTCGCGCTGGCCTTGGCCTCCTTGCTCGGTGCCGTGAGGCAGCCCCAGAGTAGGTTCCCAACCGTGACCTTCTGAATGTAAATGAAGTATAATACATAGGACCTTCGGTTGAAGGCTTATGTAAGGAAGAAGGGCGGTTGGAGTCGACTGAGTTATCCACAGACATGATGCTGATCGAGCGCGAGTGCTAAACAGGGTTTCAAGTACGCCGGATATCCGGCCAGGCCTTCTTTGCTTCTTTTGGGTGTTTGTTTTTAGGGTTTGAGTGTTTTAGATGTCATCGGATGTCATGGAGCCTTCCCACGAACATGCACGATTGGAATCAAAGCTCAGCTTAGGCTCAAGCTGTGAGCCGATCCTGAGGCTCCTGATTTGCAGTTTCTCTACAACTTCCTCCGGAGACCCAACACTCGTCCGACTATACTTAGCTACATCTTCTAGGGCTCATGAGACTCCATGTTTTTGGCAGTGGAAGCTTCCGTGAACCCGGAGGTTACAGGTGGATTCCGTGGGGCAAGCGGAAGTGGCAGGCTCTGCTTCATGTGGGATGGGGAAGGGGATACACAGTAGTCGAACCCCTTTTTTGCATCAGGACATGTGCAATCGCCTGAGTAGTCGAACCCCTAAACCCTAAACCCTGTATTTCGTGAAGTCCTTACAGTAGGAGGCTCTCTGGAGTTGGACGCCGCGGAGTTCGGGGCCAAGTGTCTAGGTTTGGGGTTCATAGGGCTTGTTCGGGTGTAGGGTTAGTTGGTCCTTTGTGCTGCCCGAGATTGCCGTAAGCCGGGAGGTGCCGTTGCGAACGCCGGTCGCTGGGCTCTGGCCTTGTCCTTCTTCCGGGGACTCAGTCGCCCGGCTGTTTCAGGGATATCAAACACTGGTTCTTCCCCAGATGCAACCTATATAAGTCATATCT